AATCTGTACCTCTACACCTGTGATTATAATCCCATTTGGGAATGGGTTTTATGTTACTGAGGTAGGATTAGTGTAGGGTAGGATGTAGGAGATATAAAGAGCTGATCAGGAGCAAAAGAAGAAAGCAGAGATGGGGAGATAGATGCCATGCCATGTGAAGATCATCAAGGAGCTGAGGGATAGAAGCTGAGAAGACAAGACGTAAGGGCCTTCCCCCAGAGCAGACAGGGAGAGAGCCTTCTGGCCTCCTAAACTGTGAGAAAAAAAAAAAATCTGTTTCTTAAAGCCACCTATTTGTGGTATATCTGTAATAGCAGCATTAGGTACCTAAGACAGTATCTCTATCTACCCACCCTCACCCTGCCAAAAAGAGAAATAAAACCAGAAAATCCGGTTGCTGTCTAGTCAATACCACTCATAATGATTCCATGTGTATCAGAATAGAACTGTGCCCCATAAGGTTTTCAATGGCTGATTTTTCAGATTACCAAGCCTTTCTTCCAAGGCACCTCTGGGTGGACTCAAACCTCCAGCTTAACAGCCGAGCACTTAGCCATTTGTTACTCAATGATTGTAGTATCCCCAAAGAGGACTCCAAGGACACATTACCCTGCTCTGCCTGAACCTCTTTTGGTCATCTTATGCAATGGTTACGAAAGGTCTTGTCATGGGCAACTAAAGTCAATCCCCTGCAAAGGCAGGGCAACAAAATCAAAGGCAGAGGGAGAAGCCAGGGGCCAGGGCTCCAGGATGTCCGTTAGTGTAAGAAGAAGAGCTATCGGTCTAGAGACTGTCAGTACAAACTAAAGCAAGGGGAGGAACCTGGCTCCATTTCCTGACTCAAGGCAATGGCCACTTTCACAAATTAAACATTTACCCACTCAATGGCTTCTAGTCTGAACAGTGGGACCTGGGGCAGTAGTGCAAAACTTGCTTAGGTCTCATTTTAAGAGTTGTGAAGGAAGTTTAACCAATAATCAGGTTTCTACCTGGCTCATCTCACCTCTAACCAAACCCAACGCACCATCATCAAGTTGATTCGGATTCATAGTGACCCTATAGGACAGAGTAGAACTGCCCCATAGGGTATCCAAGGCCGTAAATCTTTATGGAAGCAGACTGCATCATTCTCCCTCAGAGTGGCTGGTGGATTCCAACTGCCAACCTTTTGGTTAGCAGCTCAATGCTTTAACCAGAGCTCCTTCACCTCCAACAAAGAGCTAGTCAGAGTGAGATATGAAGAGGGCAGGTCAATAGGAGAGACAGTTTTCTGGAATGGCTGGCTTTTTATGATTCTAATAACCCTCCGGTTATGGGCTACATTCTATTAATGGAGAAGTTACTTTTTTAACAACACCTGTAGTGCAAATCTGCAAAGGAGAGTTGGACTACAACACCCAGTTTGAGATGAAATAAATCTTTAATAGAGACATTAGTTTTGAGAGTTGACAAGCTTAGCCTCTGTCTGGCTAAGCAGAGAATCTCCTGTTCTCTGCTTCTATGGATGAGGCCCTCACCTGTCAGTTTGTCCTACTTCGGTGGTTTGTGTGTTGTTAGGATGCTGGAAGCTATGCCACCAGTGTCTCAAATACCAGCAAGGTCACCCAAGTGGACAGGTTTTAGCAGCGCCTTGAGACTAAGATACAGTAGGAAGAAAGGCCTGGCAATCTACTTCCAAAAATTAAGTCAGTGAAAACTCTATGGATTACACTGTTCCAAATAGTGATGGAAGATGTGCAATAACCTATCAGCTGCAACAGTGGAGTCATACCAACCAGCATGAAGATGGACTGGACTTGGCAATGTTTTGTTCTACTGTACATAGGGTTGCCAGGAGTCGGAGCTGACTACAAGGCAACTAACCACAAAGGATGGAGGAGAGGGGAAATGTGAAGTGGAACCTGGTGATGTCTTTTTGCTCTGAAATTGTCATACACCTATCACAGAGATAGTTTCCCTTTCAATTTTTTCTCCCAGCAACTCCACTCAGCTTCGGTGTTTTGTTGGCAGATCAGTGGTAGAATCCTTGCCTCCACGTGGGAATATGGCAATTTCCATTCTCAGCCAATGCACTGCCACAACCTGTCCATCAGCGGAGACTTAGGGATTGCTATGAACAACTTTCAGCAGAGGTTCCAAACTAAGGCAAATTAGGAAGACTTGGAAATCTACTTGTGAAAATCAGCCAACAAAATCTCTATGGATCATGACAGTCCAGTGCACAACTCAACAGAGAAATGGCTGAAGATTTTGTCCCACTGTGTAAGGTCACCATGAGACAGGAGCTGACTTGATGGCAGCTAACATGCTCCACCAGGTCTGTTCCCGCTACACTTCCCAACAGTTTAGAATCCATTGCCATCCAGGACACTTGTGTCTTCCATTGAAGAGAAGATGAATGAGTTTAGAGGTGTTCATGGCATTGTGTTGAGGGTCACATGGAACTGAATATTGGCTCCCCCCTAGGTATAGGAATCAAAGTTGGGGACTGAGGGCCTTTCTTGAATGACCCCGAAGTCTCATTCTAGGAAATGAATTCTCTAAAGTGGCCCATAGTAGAGGTTATGCTAAAATATTCTGCAATGGCAAGCCCTGGTCAACTGACCCAGTACTGCAAGAAATATAATAAGCAAAGTTTTGGTATCGGTGCTCCATGTCAGCTTCCCCCAGAGAAAGGATGTGAAGTGAAAGAGGGTCAGAGGCATGTACTTCAGTCGCTCTTGAATCACTGTCTTCAAGGCTAACTGTAGCTATCCCAGTGTTCAATAAAAGCCAAAACGAAACAAAATTGAAAAAGCAGGCCCAGGCTTTAAAGATAAGAGACAGACAGGCACTTTTCACAAAGACTCAGAAGCACATAGCTTCCCAAAGGAAAAGATAACTTTTATTTGATACACAAAGAACCTCACTTAAAATTTTGGAATGCATTACAATTCTTAAGTTTTGCACATCTGCCTTGCCCAAATTGCTTTTATTTAGAAGTGCTGAAATTAAGTGCCATTTAAAAGGGTTTAGAAGCCCCAGTGGCACAGTGGTTAAGCACTAGGCTGCTAACCTGAAGGTCGGCAGTTCGAACCCAGTAGCTGCTCTGCAGGAGAAAGATGTAGCAGTCTGCTTCCATAAAGCTAACAGCCTTGGAAACCCTATGAGGGCCGCAATGAGTCAAAACTGATTGGACTGCCAGTGGGTTTGTTTTTTTTGGAGGGTTAGAATTAAATGTTAAACATGTGTCAACTACTAACCAATGAGAGGGAATTCTCACATTATACAATATTGACTCAAAATGAATCAATTATACAAACTACTCCCCTCCCATTAAAAAAAAACCCAAAGAACACGTAATTCCTACCCTCATGAATAAGAACTGGAGATCCTGCAGGATTATAAATCCTGTAATGCAAGTACACTGCTCAGAATTACACTATATCCAGTTGTCAGTAAACCTGAGACATCTCAAAATCTTATGACTGAATAAAACTGCCAATGTCTTCTCTTGGCCTAACAATGCAGCTACTAGTTTGGAAATAAACTTTTGGATAGCAAGACATCTAATTCAAACCTCCAGCAGAAGTACAGATCAGTATAGATATGATACAGACCCACAATCACACACACACACACACAGACACTTTATTAGTTTCCTTGACAAGAGACAATGATATCAATAGTTTTAACAGAAATTTCGGGTCATCTGAGAGGCCAAACAGATCCAAGGGAGGAAGATGAAAATATTTAAATTAATCAAAAGGCACCACGACATCATCTAAAATCTACTACCATGGTGGTAGTAGTCAAGGAAGATTAAGCTATAGCAAAATCATGTCAAGTATTAGGGATTACATAGCAGGAAGTGAGTCTGCCTTCCATAAGACTATGGTACACTGATCATTTGGACTCAAGAGGATTATTCGGCCAGGGAAATGTCAAGATGGTGGAAGGTAAAGCCAAATTGAAATGAACAGGTACAAAGGAGAATCCAAGATACATAGTCCCCGAGCAGATGGTGCTGGATCAGTCTTCTTCCTCCCAAGAAGCATTTGCTGGCACTGTGCTGCTGCTGCCCTTCATGACCCCACCCAAAGGCTACACAATCTGAAAGCTGCTGGCTCTTGCCTTATAGAGGACTCAGCAACCAGAACTAGGTTGGGGGTTGCCTAGGGCTCTTACTGTAATTTAGCATAGACCTGGGAGTACTTGATACATGGGGGGGGGGGGGCAGTGATACACCATGGGGGTATATATTGGGTGGCATTGTTGCTAGTTGTTCTGAACAAAGAAAACCCTGAAGCATTCACATGCAAAGCAGTCTAAGTTTCCCCCGTCATCTTCACACAACCCTGCACAACACCCGCAGTGTCTGAAATCTTGCAGCAAGCAGCTGAGCTGTAGTTAAAACTGCAAGGCTCCTCAAATCAAACGAAGTCAGGATGAGACAATGTAGGTTGGAGATCCCAGCAATCTCAACCTGTCTCTCCCCCAACTAGGGTAAGCTCTAACACCTGATGTGGGATGTAGAAAGCTACACTGGAAGCAAGCTGGGTTTTCTGCAGAACTTTTGATCAAATACCAAGGGAAAACAGGGGGTGGGGTGGATTTTATCTTTTAAAAGCCTCCGACGTTATTCTATTACAAAGGGACATGGCTGAACAGGTAGGAAACAGATTCCCCATTATGAGTTCTCCTGATGGCTTCTGCAAGGATCATAGAGATGTCGATCACCTAGAAAGGCAGAAAAGCGGCAGGTTAGTATACAGACAGATGATGACTGGCAACGTGCAGCCACGGATGAGAAGCCTGCTGAGGTTCCTCTTAAAATGTGCTGTTTCCCCTCATGAGCCTGTATCCAGCAACTCTCCCTAACACCTTTAATAGAACCACTTAGGGAAGAACCAAAAAGCTAATGGAGGAAAACTTTTCAGTTGGACTCACAGAGGTGATGGTGAGTGGGTATCCAAAAATCCTTAGGAAGGAAAAAAAGATATTGGGGAAAAAAAACAACCTGTATAATGACAACCCTTCAATTCTAAATAGTAATTTCAGAAAGTTAGTGATGGATTGCTGTACACATGATTAATTAAGGTCTTGTTCTTTTAGTACAACAGCACTCAAACTTTAGTGTCTAACTTGTCCTTGGGAGATTACTCTGAAATACTGGTTCCAGGATCTTTGGTCTTATAGGTCTGGGATGGGGCAAAGGAATCTGTATTTTAACAAGAACTTCAGGTAATTAACATAGGTGGCTTCCACTGCACACTTTGAGAGACATTAAAGTTCTAAAGAGTGCATCATCAATTTGAAGATTTCACATTGTCTACAGGAGCTCTGGTGGCACAGTACATAAGGCAACTGGCTGCTAACCAGAAGGTCAGTGGTTCAAACCCACCAGCCACTCTGCAGAAGGAAGATGGGGCGATCTATTTCTGTAAAGATTTTTACCGCTTTGGAAGCCCAATGGGGGTCGCTATGAGTTGGAATCGACTCGATGGCAGTGAGATTGGTTTGACAGGGGCCAATAGCTAGAGAGATGTGCACACGTATCTCTCTAGCTATTAGTCCAGCATCAGAATCACTGGGAGAACCTGTTAAAATGTAAAACGCTAAGTTAAACTCCCTCCTCCAGAGGTTCTAAGGTCTAGCAATTAGAATTTTTTTAATCTCTCATCTTTTATTTTTTGCATCATAGATCATAGTGACAGACTAAACCCTTAAGACCAAAGAAAGAAATTTTCAGAACCCAGACAGATTCCTATTAAACATATGCAAGCACCTCTTAAAAACTTAGTGAAGTCATGTTTTACCAGAATCACATCCTCACCTGTATTTTGGAGCAATGCTTCATCTTATCCTCTTGAGGTATGGTATTGGTGACTACTACTGCTTCAAAGCAAGCATTATTGATGCGAGAAATGGCCGGGCCAGAAAAGATTCCATGAGTCAAAATAGCATAAACTCTGGTGGCTCCAGCTGACAGAAGTCTAGAAGAAAAACAGAATTGATTTGGATTAATCGTACTTGTCACTGTAGAATCTGAGTTAGGGAAAAGGAGAGAGAACTAGACTAAGAACTTATCTGAACCCCAGCAATAATAGCAAAGTTCAACGGGTCAGAAAATAACAAATGCTGGCAAGGTTGCAGAGAGATTGGAACTCTTGTGCACTGCTGGTGGGATTGTAAAATGGTACAACCATTGTGGCAAATGGTATGGTGTTTCCTTAAAAAACTGAAAATAGAAGTACCATTTGACCCAGCAATTCCATAACTAGGAATATATCCTAA